AAGTCGCATGGTCGAGGCATGGGAGTTGGCTGAAAATTACTGTCAGTGGGAGAATTCTGCATTCATTGCCGCTTTCCTTAGATGATCAAAACTGACTAGTATATTACCGTCTCTCCAGAGCCCATAGTTTCGGTTTCGAACGAAATCTCCGAAACGAAAGTTTGACATGAAAAGAACAAAAAACACAATTGGAAAACAAAACTATGCTCTCCAAGTTTATGTGCACCGGCTACACTTAACCGTCTCAGTTCAAATATCTATTAAATTGGGCATTAAGCAAAAGAAAATCTGTTAAATTGAACGCGCCACCTGTTCAGGTGGCCGGGCCGAGCCGGCGCGACCTGGACTCAGCCGCCATGTTTGTTTGGTGATGGCGCCCCCTATAGGTCGCTGGAGTCGCGAATAACCGAGGCGGCCAGAATCCGGTGTACGCTAGGTCATAATTTTTATTACCTCGTTGAATATTTGATAAGCCGCCCTTCTTCCACACCTATCAAAACCGCATATCTTCAAAATATTTTTTTTTATTCAAGGTGATGGTATTAGATTTTGAGCCGCGGTTGTTTTACAAAAGCGTACAGACAATTCCAAGTTCGCAACCGGCGTGCGTTACAGAGCCTGCTAACCGCGAGTTCTTCGCGCTTTAACGCGACGGTACAACGAGTTTTATACTTTGACTAAATACCGCGTAGAATGAATTCTTGGCGTTTATAACCCATAAAACACACGCTCGTTTTTTTTCTCCCCGCAATGGCAATCGCAGGAAAAAGAAAAAGAGAGCCGCGTTCACCCCCTCAACTCGCAGCCATAACAGGAAGTCACGTAGTCTGGTGCCGATTATATTCCGTCAACGTTCATCATAGTCGCGTGCCGTGGTTTGAAAAGCGCAGTCATGTGGCACAGTGCAAGGGCTCATCTACAGACACTGTTAGGGTTCTGCTGTTCCCGTCACCGCGGCGATTGGGCGCGAGTTATTACCCGAATGCTGGTCGAGCAAGCCGAAGCCGAGTGTTGACGCCAGGCACGTAGCCAGGGGGGAGGCCCATGGGGATCGGGCCCCTCCCGAAATCTTTCATTTTGCTGGGACCTACTCCCCCCCCCCCCTTTCCCTCATAAAGCATTTTTGTCATAGGCCCCCCCCCCCCCCCCCCCCCCCGTGCCAAACGTCTGGCTCTGTGCCTGGTTCACGCAGTGCTCGTACACAACTTATGAGCTGCATTTCAATATCGCCATCGTGGGCAAATCCCCTTGACTGTAACAGCAGTGCGATACCCGTTGATACGGTGATCACATTTTGCGAAGGAACGACTGGCGGAACCTCTTTTATTTTTGAAATTTTACCGCGACAAAAAAGCTTCCAGCTGGTCAGCCGCGTCGCGTGTGGGTATGCTTGGAGTGTGGTAAGCTGGGGGGCTAAGCTCGCCTCCGGCGGGAATTTCTCCGATGCCACGTCACGGGGGAGGGGAGGAGCTTCTTTTGACTCCGCCCCGGCGAGTTTCCCACTCCCCGTCTTACATTCCCGACCCCCCCGGCGGCGGCGAGTTCCCCAGCGTAGCTCCGATTTTTCCCTACGCTCCGCAGTGAAGGGTTTTTATTTATTTAAATCGGGGGATCGGTGGCCGGCTGGGCTAGCGCACACCAGCTCGGAGCACGTCGAGCGAAAGGTCCGTTGCAGAACCCAGGATGCTGGGTTCAATCCCCACCCCTGCCCGTTTCGATGTTGATGAGCATCGTACCGGCGTGCAGTCGTGTAACACTACTGCGGGATGGACGTTAAAGACCCCAGGCTAGCGGTTGCACGGCACTGCATGGCTAAATTTCTCATCTACAGCTGGGAGAATCTTCCCCGTTGAGGCAGACCAAGTTTTAGGCAGTATCAACATACATACAGCCCAATTTTTTTTTATTTAAATCGTAAATGACAAATAAGAATACGTAACAGCAGGGATGCTAATTATACAAACATTGCTTGGATGTGGGCTAGTTGACTAGACATTGTGATGGTTTGCTGCGCCACGTAGATGCAAGAAAAACGCTCTTGATAAAGATATAAACTAAAGCAGAGTATAGACGAAAAACAACATACAGGAATGGAGCAGACTAACAACTGTGTAATTTCTTTCTCATCTTTCTCCCCCCACACCGCCACACAGCCACAATATTTTTTTTTTTTTTCAGAATAGGGTGCACGTGGAGCGAAAGCTCGCGCTGCAGAACCCAGGATCGTGGATTCACCCCACCCCTGCCCTTTTCGATGTTGATGAGCATCGTACCGGCATGCGGTCGTGTATCACTACTACGTGGTGCACGTTAAAGACCCTAGGCTAGCAGTCATACTGCACTGGCTAAATTGCTTATCTACAGTAGGTGACAATGTCGCAATGTTCTGGCATGTTCTCCTGCTGTATAAACAACTAACGGCCAATTTGTTTGTCAAAATAGGGTGTGGAAGAAGAAAGATGAGAAAGAAATTACACAGTTGTTAGTCTGCGCCCTTCATGTATATTGCTTTTCTTCTATCATCTGTTTTAGTTTGAATTGTATCACGTGCGTTTATCTTGCATCTACGCAGCACAGCAACCCATCAAAATAATTGTAAAAGCCTGTAGGTAATGGTAAATTGCGTTCCTGATTGCAGATTACCGTAAAAACACATTTGTTTCTAGGTTTCACTTTGTAGAATTTGGATGTAGGATTCACGACGGGGGCGACGGTTCATTCACGGCTCCATCGCCTCAAGCCCGGTTCGCCACGCAGTTCATCGCACAGCCACCTTACCACGTCTTTCGAGAGGCGATAGTGTTGTTGAAAATGAACGTCGTCCATGTCAAACACATTGGCGTGGTTTAAATACCTATGCCGACGGCAAAACATGAACAAAATCGCTGCCATTTTGGACGCTTCTCCCAGATCTCGCGCCCAACTTGCCCAAACTCGCCTAGGTCGGAGCCGGCAAGCTTTTCCCATCCGCGGCGGCTTCTGCCACGTCACAGTGACGTCACCGCATCTCGCCGCGAGTTCCGAATATGCAACTCTCCGACTGCCTCAAACCGTCCGTTTAACGTCACGATCTAGGGAGTGTCGGCGCGTGTCATTATGCACGGCGCCGACCAATCTCGGCGGTCGGCGAGTTTGGCGGAGAACTCGCCTCGATCTTGCCGCGCCGAGCTTAGCCCCCCTGGGCGAGTTGGTATGATGACATAGTGAACAGAAGAGGGAACAAATAAACAAGAACAAAGAAAAGGAACATATCGTGCATGTCCCTTTTTTGTGTCCTTGTCTTTTTGTGCGCTGTTCTGCTCACAAAGTGTATGCCTGGGTCGCTTTAGTGCCAGTACGCAAGTATAAAGTGAAAACGATTCGACCCAATATAGTTGCGCAGCCTCTTCGTGCCGGGTTCAGGGAGCGGCGCTCGTTGCGTTCAAAACGGCCGAAAAATCAAGTTCAAGAAATTCCCCGAAATTCCCATTGTCTATGTTCGCCATACAGAATGTGGAGAGCAACGCAGGAAGTAGCTTCGTGAAGCAATCGAGAGTCACGGTAGTGCCGCTTATACTATCGGGGAAAAATGAAATGCGAACAGAGGAGCGCGTGGCTCGCGGTACAGGCTGCGCCGCCTGGAAGTGAGCCTAGAAGCGAGGGTGCGTGGCCTACTCCGACGTGTTCACTCCCCTCCCTCTGCGCTCCCCAAGCTTCAGCAGTGCGCCTCTTAGAGCGCTGAAAGCTATCACCGCTATCTTTGCTGGCTCAGCGCGTGCGGTGCAAAGAAGCTCGCCGCACTCGCCGACCAGGCAAAGATAGCGGTGACAGCTTTCAGCGCACTGAGAGGCGCATTGCCGAAGCTGGGAAAGCGCCAATCGAGCGGCGTGAACACATCAAAGCAGGCCACGCAGCCTCGGCCCTAGGCTCACTTCCAGGCGGCGCAGCCTGTACCGCGAGCCACGCGCTCCTCTGTTCGCATTTCATTTTTCCCCGATAGTACCAGTCGTTGCCGTAGTTTTCGTGCCTGGGAACGCAGGCGACGGAGATGTCACGCTGTTCATACATCATACTAAAGACAGTGTTCGCAGACGCCTGAAGCATGTTCTCTTCATGTCTGCTTCGAACACGTCTCTAGACGGTTGTCTTATGACCAATGTGACGTCATACAAGAAAGAAGCACGCCTCAGGTAGTGCTGCGGATTGTATCTTGTATGATGTATTAACAGGATGACCGCGGACTAAAAGGAAAGCGCAGAACGCAAGAAACACGCCGACGCATTTAATGGTAGCGACCAAAAGCCTTCTTTTAGAGATGATGCCTGGACTATAACAAATAGGGCGCCGTTGCCGCCGCCACGTCTTTGGCTGTGCGGAAGGAACTGTGCAATTGTAGGCTTGCCGATATTGCCTTCACCTACGCGGTATGCATGCAGCACGCGCTTACATGTATACAGAAAAAGCGCGCCGGCCAGGACGACAGGTTGGAAGTGGAGTAAGAGAAACGCACTTTATTGATAATTATAGTCGTTTCGCTATGGTTAGCTTAGAAACATAAGAATTAGCACTAACTTCTTCGTCGGAGCAAGATTAGAATGAAAGCAGTCTGTAAATGCACCTGTCATAAAAGCAGTACCCTGTCCTTATAAAAATACAGGAAGCCCATTTTGACTACTCATCCCCCGACCTGACCGCGTGATATTCCTTCTTCAAGTTGCATGCTTTACACTTCTGGTCACGAAAGCTGTGCTCCAAATCTTATTCGAGTAGATCCAAGTTATTCCCGCAGATCATGTCACGCGATAACACAGAAAGGGCGGGCTGGACGCGAGTAGGTTTTACAACGCCAAGGTAGGAAATCTCTACTCCGGAGCAAATAGTGTAAACTTTTGAACGCGCTCCGGGGCGTTCTATCGAGGTCCGAGCAGTGAAACGTAGGAGAGACACTCCAAGAGAGGTTCGTGCTGTCCATGTGACCAACAATGAAACCAAGAATGTATTACGTCATAAGGATCACTTACCTGGAGTTTTTCGATATACAAGAGCACGTCCACTGTCCTGGAAGACATGCTGAACTTGATGGAGGTTGAATAATATCCCCTTTGACGGCGATATGAAACAGAACAAGAACATGATGATCGTCCGGCGCTCATCCTGAATGCGATAAGTTGCACCCTGCCCTCGATTGATATACGTACACGGGCCGTAAAGCCATGGCCACACTACTAACGCATGGAACAAAGGACAGTTTGCAGACACTGTCTGAGCTGTGTTTCTTTCTTTCAGGGCGATCCTATTCCATCGGTCATACAAAACGCTCTTCATACATATTCAAAGCGTACATAAGTGTGATGCAAACATGCGTGAGGCATGTTCGCAGATGATTCTGTCATCGCGTGTGCAGCGGACACCGTGTCCTTTGCATGATGTCTAAGAAATATGACTGCGGCTTTAGGAACACAGCTGGATTTGCAAATAGAAAATCAAACGTCGCTGCCTCAGGAGGACTTTTTAGTTATTAGGTATTGATAAGCATCTCCCCCCAGCCTGTCCCCCTTGGTTACGTCACTGTGAACGGTCAGAAGCGTTAGCCTTCCGAGAGTGTGGACGCAAGTCGCAGAAAGATAGAGTAATATAGCTAGATATCTAGGGTTTTTGAAGCCCTGGACCTGGGTTTAATCGCCCCCCCCCCCCCCCCCCTCCTCCCTGCCCGTTTCGATCTGGATGAGCATAGTGATGCACGTTATAGCGCCCCGACTAGCGGACTACCCGACTCGAAACTCCACTCAAACTCCGTTTGAGGTCGCTTTTGCGCTTGATAGTAAGAACTTGACTCAGACCATCACTCGACTGAGGACCCCTTCCCCCCCCCCCCCCCCCCCAATACTAAACAATTTCCTCCAAAAACTCAAGGTAGGTTCGGTGCTATCTCTAGATTAATTTTTCCGGCACCATGACAGAACAGCACACGACAAAACAGCACGCGACAAAACAGCACGGTCAAAACAGCACGCGTCAGGACAGCACAGCGTCAAAACAGCACGGCGACAAAACAGCACGCGTCAAAATAACACGGTACAAAAGAGCACAGCGTCAAAGCGGCACAGCAACAGAAGAGCACGTACCAAAACAGCACGGCGTCAAAAAATCACAGCGTTAAAACAGGACAGCGACAAAAAATCACAGCGTCAAAAGGGCGCAACGACAAAAGAGAACGGCGTCAAAACAGGATATTGAGCCAGTGTTTGACGTTTTCGGTTTCTGTTATTTTGAGATTCGGCGTACTTTTTTCGGTTTTTATTCCGAACTTTTCGGAATAAAGTTTTCGGTTTATTGCGGTGAATATTTGTCTTCTCGGTTGTTTTCGGTTTATTGACGGAAACCAGTATACTGACGAAAATGCTATATTTAAAAGCGTTTTTTTTTTATGTATAGTAAGTAAACCAGGTACTGGTTTTCTTATTTGTTGCTGTCTGTAGCAGCCGACGCGACCTGTTCTGCAAGACGCACTGGGCCCTATCGTGATTGGACATTATCGTCGTGTGCTCGTATTTGTACACAGGACGAATAAAAGGGTCAAGGAGGTTCGAAATTAATCGCGCAGAGAGAGGTGAAGAGCGCGCTCGAAGTTGCTGCATGCGTGCTGTTTTGTCCCTGTGCTGTTTTGACGCCGTGCTGTCTTGGCACGTGCTCTTCTGTCGCTGTGTTGTTTGGACGCTGTGCCCTTTTGTCGCGTGCTCTTTTGACGCGTGCTGTTTTGACGCGTGCTGTTTTGAGCGTGCTGTTTTGTTTCGTGCTGTTTAGTCGTGTGCGGTTATGTCGTGTTCCCAGATTTTCCTCCAGACTCGAGATGGTTTTTGGGCGTCATGGCGGCCGACACATCGTTCACCGAGTTCCTGGACCTTGTTCTCACTGAACCGACAAACTCCTGCACCACGGCAAAGACGAGTGCCTTCCAGTGTCACGGCGTCGTTTCAGGAACCGGCTGAAAGCGACGGTGGTGTTAAAGGTCTGCGAATTTCTTGAGCACGCCTGCTTTACGAAAGCGATGGTGTCCAGCCTCCTGAAACCCCTGTCGCTGGAGGAGTGCGAGAACAGTTGTGGTCCGCCGGTCCTTTTAATGCTCCAGCTGCTGATTAAGCTGCAGTTCTACGGCGCCGGGACATTCAGGTTCACGTATTCGGCGACCTGGTAAGTACGTCACAACCCACGATGTGCCGGTTCGTTCGGCAAGTTAATTTTATTATTGCCAGCTTATTGCCAGCACTTTGTGCCTCCGTCTTGTCAAACACCCGGGGAGCCCGACGGGGTTAGATCTTGTGATGTGAGACTTTTATGAACTCAGCTTATGCAGTCAAATGTATTGTTTGGCACTTTATGAGCGAAACATGCCAGGGAGGTGAATTCACATTTTTGCTAAAAGCCCATCAACGCAGATGCATATGATTGGTTTACTACTTTGGGCAAGGGTGACGCACTCCACGTATTTTCAATCAAGGTTATGAGGGCTTCCGTCGAGTTGCAATCGCGAGACACCGGACATCCGTGCTTCGGGCATTGCAACCAACTAAAGGTGTAGCTCTGCAGGCGACATACGAAGCATGGTTGTCCTGGTAACCTGCGGTCGCATCAACACGTGATGTAAAGAAAACGTAGTCAAACACTACTGTGTGCAGGCCTTATCTTGTTTGGGTCAGTGTACATGAAGCATTGAAGATATGCTAGAGCAGTTTAGTTTTCATCAGTAGCAGCAATTCGACGGACATGCATACGCTTTCGAGCCCACAAAGTACGAAGTACCGAAATTAAATTTCAAGCTCGCACTAAAATTAGCATGTTGAATATGTGGGTTCCACTCATGCATCCATTGTGCTCATAGTGCAAGATGACTGTGATTTCACGCCAATACAAATACGTAGAATATGTTGGCCGCTGTCAAGTGGGCATCAGTACTTGCTATGTTTTTTTTTTGTTGTTTTTTTTGTTACGGCTGCATTTCGGAGGATGGCAAATATGACAGCAGGGCTAGTTAGCAACCTACAGTTTAAACAACGCAGTGCAGAACACACCTCTCCTAAGGGACCACTACGCAAAAAGGCTTGATCCCTAGTCGAATTCTGGCAATGAAAAACTGGAAGCTGGTCTCTTTTCCACTGTTGACAGACTGGAAAGCGAATAAAATAAAACAACGAAAACTTTCACGCTGGCTACAGAAAAGCTTCATATCTGCCATTGCAGTGCTTGTAAAGCATAATCTTTTAAGAATAACGAACACATATATTCATTATTTGCACCAAAATTATGCTATAGACGAAAAATGTTCCTATAATCTCGTATCCAGACATCCCCGGGAGCAGTAGAGTGGTGTAAGCAATATTCAGAAATTCCTCCGTGGAGGAATCGCCGAAAGGCGTCTGCGAAGCTAAATGCCTCTTAAGCAGGGGTGTTCTTTTTCCTCCACTCGACTGAGTGGAAGTAGAGTTGGAGTCGGGTAGCGTTTAAGAATGCGGCTGTGAGCCTGCCTCACGTAACACTTGAAGAAAATATCGCATAGGAATGCGATATTTTCCTTGGAAGCTGCAGTTCTTCAAAACGCACGCCAGGCTGTTAAAGAAACACCGCTTTCAGGAGCAGCTTCCGAGAGCCGACTCTCAATAGTGTGGTACTAACGAGCTGGCCCACTCAGGGACCAGCCGAGGAATTGAACCTTACCCGTTCTCCAGGACGGGCACTGTCACTTCGCTCTTCACCGGCCTTGCGTCGTAAGTGGTCTCACTGAAGTACAAAGGGCAGTAGATCTCTTTTAATTCAATTTTCACAACATATTACGAGCCATAGCCCCGTGAATTAAGATTATAGTTAATCTCGTGCACACACGCACGTATGCAAGCACATGGGCAGGCACGCACAGAGTCACGATGTTTCTTCAAAAGATTTTCTTTCGGCCTTCTTATGTCACGGGTTTTATTTGAGCTAGTTGGTAGATACTATTGGCAATCAGGTTGGCTGAACACAGAAAGACAAGGACACAAAGGAAAGGACTGGACAAACAAACTGCTGTGTATATCCAGTCCTTTCCTTCGTGTCCTTGTTTCTCCGTGTTCAGCTGACCCGATTGCCAACTTATGTCATTAATTCGCACCTTTCGTACCCTGAATATTGCAAAATGATTTGCACGGGACATCATGCCGCGGGGATGGTGTTCATTCTTACGCATTACTGCTGAAAAGTGCCACGTCTTGTGCGTGAAAGTCGGGAGTTTTCGTAGACCGTTTTTGACATCCCGCAACGAAACCCTCAACTCTACAGGCAAGGCCATCAGCGCGCAAGCGCAGTAGCGGCTTCTTCGTTGCGGAGGGCCTAACAGAGCGGGAAACGCAATCTACGAAAGTTTTCATTAGGGAGTTTTCGTAGACCGCGTTTCCCCCTCCGCTAAGTCTTTTGCAACGAAGAAGCCGCCACTGTGCCTGCGCGCCGATTGCCCTGACTGTAGAGTTCCAGGTATCGTAGCAGGTTGCTGAGAGCGTTGCGGGACAGCGGAAACGATCTACGAAAACTCCCTATTAACACGGTGGAGGGAACGTTCGCAGTAGGTAAGCCAACACCGTGACTGACCCAATCACGCGAGTACAAGCTGCCTGAAGACGAGCGCGCTACCCTACTCCGTTTCCCAGGCAGCACAAGACGTCAAGATGGCGTCGAAATAAAGTCCTAGACGTTGGGCGACGTCGAAGTCTAACAAACGTTTTATCAACTCCATTAGTGCGTCCACATGAGAGGTTCCGACAACGTCAAACACGCGACATAGTGCCAACGTCAAACACGCGACGTAGTGCCAACGCCATAAGCTTCACTTTGACGTCTTCAACAGTAACTGACGTCTGTTCGACGTCTTGTATGAGAAGTTCTTTGAACGTCGAGTACGAGACGTCATAACAATGTCCTGAGCAACACCTTGACGTCTGCGACATTAATCGACGTCAGTTCTACGTTTTCTCCGGGAAGTCGTGATTGTTGTTTTAGCAGGAATTGCTTAAAAAGCCGAGAATTCACAACAACAAAAACCAGGATTTAGCTCAAAGTCAGCGGTGCCGTTTATAGCATTTTAGCGTTTCTAACTTAATATGAGTGTCTTTGAAGGTGTAAGAGAATGATAATAATGTAAGACATTTCTGCAGCTGAGCCAGGTCGAAGGGTGGACAGCATGCACAGTATCGAAAACGCTGTCATTGACGAGAAATCTTAAAAGTGATATGGCAGGTTCTTGGGGACTATAGTTCGCTTGTTTAGAGTGACTCCGAATTACTCCCAAAACTGTGTAGCCATGAAAATGGTCGAAATTACCGATCGCTAGGGAGCTGAAGGAACACCGTTCCTATGATTCCTTTAGTGCGGGCCCGGGAGCTTGGGGGATTTGGAAAATAGTCTATTCCGTCCGAATATACATGCTTTGGCCTAACATACCTTCGAGCAAAGAAGCCAGATCCGGTTGACTCCATTGTTCCACGGTGACCCGGGTCGAGACCGTTATCAATTGACATCCCGTTCAGTCTCGTTAAAGGGACGTTATTTCAACGTTGACATAACGTTATCACATAGGTGCGCTCGACATTTTATGTCGTTAAATGGGACGTTATGATATCGTTAATATGACGTTCTCAATTGACATCCCGCTCAGTTTAGACGTATACTCGACGTTATATGGTCGTTAAATGGGACATTGTGTCAATGCTGATATAACGTTATCACTTGACTTCCTGTGATATTCAGACGTGCACTCGACGTTCTAAGGTCGTTAAGTGGGGCGTTATGTCCACTTAAAATCCGTGCTTTTTTCCAGACATTATCCTTTCCATATTACGTGAAGGGACCTGACGTTGAGACTTTCGACGTTCTTTCGACATGTGGTTCCTGATGTCACCGACGTCCTTTCGACGTCTTTTCGACGTGATTGTGCTGCCTGGGTTCAGCATAACTTTGCAGAAGGCGATGCGTTGTTTCAATCTCCCACCCTGCATCCCTTTTCTAACTCGAAGGGAAAAACTGGGCCGAAATCGCTGGTGCCGCCACGCTGATTATCGAAGAATTGCGTTAGTACTTCGCGCAGCGGTTGTTTATAACGAAGCAAGGTGAATGCAGCCTTTTAGCCCTTTTCCGCGGGATGAACATTCCCGAAACCTCTCCTCTTTCTGGTTCAAGCAGATAGAAGAGAGTCTGCGCGCGCGTGCTCGAGGACGAAACGTTGTCGAAGCTTTCTAGCTTCGACAACGCTTCGTCCTCGAGCACGCGCTCGCCGCCAGTGACCCACCTGCAAGGCACTCTGCACCGCGAGGAGCAGACTTTCTCGTACGACTGAAGAAGTCTGGACGCGCACTCTGGGCGGGGGACGCGCAGGACCGGCAGAAAAGAGGACAGCATAAACGGAACAAGTATGAGGCCACATTCCCAAGATTCTGGGACACTCTGCCCACTCAGCAAAAACATTGCAAAGAGCCGATTTGAGCCGTGCAACTGTAGGCATCGTTGTTACATTCCCCGCGGCAAGTATACTCGGCAATAAAGCGACAATAATAAAAACCAATCATAATCTCACGGACATGACTTTTCTTCAAAGGCACTTCGTATCTTTTTCTTCTTTCCATTGGGTTCTAGGGACAACCCTTAAGTCGCGGTCCCACGGCTAGTGCGCCTTACAAAAGACAGTCTGCAGGCACCGTCTGAGACGTTTCCAGTAGGACGGTCCCATTGGTCATACAATCCTGGGAAAGGGGTCGTTTTCTTTTTTTTTTTACGATTCTTGCTAAGCGCCGAGCTTCAACTTCATATTTTCGAAACAATCAGCCGACAGTAAATACCTTAAAGTTCGTTTGGTCCAGTGAAATTGGAACAAGAGGAGTTGGGAAGCGGAGAGCGATCCCCCCCCCCCCCCTCCCCCAAACAAACATTTCGGTACTTTCAGCTCAAAATGTCGGAGGAAGGAAGGAGAATCCGCATCACTACCTTCCCTCTTCAACGTGAAACACTTCCGATGCCACGGGCAAGCAGCGATAACGTTATATCTACAGCGTGAAACAAAGGAATCGATGGCTAGTTTGAAGGGACCGCATAAATTGGTTTCTCAACGTATCGAGCTAAGATTTTGTACAGGGGTGGCTGAAGGACGTGCATTGAGGTTATAAAAACTTCCTTAAACTAACTTACGTAAAAATATTAGCGATAAAAGAATGAAAGACGTTTACAGCACTCTGTAACGCCGAATTAGAGCGCAGCTCTTGAGGAGGAGGAGGGAAGGGTACTGAGGAGAGGGTATACTTTTCCTCCCTCCTCCTCATCCTCCCTGATACTGTTCCTCCCCTCCTCCCTCCTCTTCCTCCTCCTCGTCCTTCTCCTCCCCTCCTCCTTCACCTCCTCCTCCGTCCCTCAAGCTGCTCCCCTCCTCTCCCCCTCCCTTCTCCCCTCCCTCCTCTCCTCCTACTCCCCTCTTTCCCCTCCTCCCTCTTTTCCCCCTCTCCTCCCCCTCCTTCTCCTTCTCCCCTCGTCCTCCTCCCACTCCCCTCCTCCTCCTCCCCTCGTCCTTCCCGCGCGTTGCATCATGGGAAATGTCCCAAAATGTACCGCGCGGTTACGCCGACGGCAACTGCGACGGCGCTCAAGCCGGAAACGGGCGCCTGCTGCGCTCTAAAAAACTTGAAATCCTTACCTACCATGTCCATTTGCTAAAAGATTACAGGAGGACGCTTAAGCTTCGCCTTTAATAGTGGAAAGCGATAGCTACACATATAAAGCCGTGCAGTCGTGTCTGCGTGGCCTAGGATCGGCAGCGTGTCTCACTAGCAAGGCGGAGGCGAACCCCGCCTCCGCCTAAAATTCTTCAAATTTTTCCTTTAAGGCATATGAATTGCTTTATAAAGTGAAATCACTTGAGACATGCGGCGACCTTTAATTTTTATTACATGTCATATCTTAATCACTTTCATTCCACGCGTGACGTCACGTTTCACGGGAGCGTTGTGGGTGGTTTGAAATTCCCGCGCGAGGTCGTGCGGTTGTGACGTCATAACCCTATTGACCAATCAGGGTTTTCCCGTCACGCCACCAACACCGGCTTTTCTGCGACACGACTTCCTTAACGCTACAGCGTTAAAATAATCATGCACTGACAATTCGCGCAGAAAAAAAAAAGCGCATCGCTTCTGGCTCAGAAAGATCGTCTGCTATTGCCGAAGTCGAAGTAAACGCCCATTGCGTCCGCCTGTAGTGAGCCTAGATTGTGGTAAGAGTCCATCTAAAACCATGGTCTGTATCATCGGGAGCGTTTGCAACTTAAAAGCGGACGCCTCCCGTACCCATTGGTCGCAAGTGCGCACGCGCTGAGTTGTCGCGTGCCGAGGAGGTAAGCAGGCGGAAAAGCAGAGACACTCGCAGACCAATCAACGCGTTCGTCACTTCCTTGCAGCTCGTACTGCAAACGCGGCCGATAAACCACGTCACCCCGATAGAGCAGTTGGACGCTCTCTGTAGTACAGGCTCTCTGGCCGCCTGCGATTTTACGTACCTCCATCTGTCGGCTGTTGCGACAAGCAAACGCCTTTTTTTTTAGCAGACGGAAGTTTTCTTTGTTTTTGTTTTTCTCATATTTCTGTGTAACCTAGTTCAGTCAATGTTTATAACCTTAATGCGCGTACTTCTGCCACCTCTGTTCAAAATCGTAGCTCGATACGTTCAGAAAAAAGACTTATGCGGTCGTTTCAGACAGCCACGGATTCCTTCGCTTCACGCTGTATGTTCTAGAAATTTTTGGCAGTCATATATTAGAAGGGCTTCATAGTAGTCGAAGTTACAGCCCTGTATACGCTTAATTTTTTTTTTACGTAGGAATAGTAGCAAGGGGAAGCGAAAAGTTCGTTTTTGGTGAAAAAGAAAACAACTAATGCTTATAAGTTTTTTTTTTTTGCGCCATTTATATTTATCTCCTCCTGATTTTTGATTCCAGCAGCGAAATGAAACAGTCTCCGATCAAAAGTTCTCACTGTGCCACTGTCCTCCACGATGACGCAAATCGCTTCCCGGCCAGAGCAAGGACGCACAAATCAAGAATGGTTTTAAGACGTCGACTGGAAACTTGAACGAATATCATATACGACAAGATTGCTTCCATTTTTGTCTCCCTCGTATTCACTCATAGTTTAAGAAACGCAGGGCGTGCTGAGCCAATGGACCTTTTCCGAGAAGCGTTCTGCGCACGAGCGAGAGCCCGATGCCAAGCGGCGGAAGTCGACACGAAAAATCGAGGGAATTCTAAAGAAGGCTGTGGATTAGCGAGTAGAACACGTAGTTGCAGCATATATATAATTGTGCTACACAAAAAAAGAAAGTGAACGGAAAGAAAAACACGACGTTTAGGTGGACGCCACGGTTGCCCCTTTTTAAAGTCGCGTTGGGCACGCGCTGCAGCTCAGAGAGCGAAGAAACCGGTAGCGTAGCTCCAACGTAGCTCCCATTATCGACTGGTAGTGCAGGCAGGTCACTTCCTGCATTTTTAGTTCGTGCAGCCACCGCCAGGTGCCGTCGGTATGTGGAAAAGGTCCATACCACCTGGAAGACAAGGCCCAAGCATGATGTCGTCGTTAGTGGTCCCCCCTACCCGCCCAAAGTGGTCAAAACGACGGCCTCAGCCTGTTTGCCGCTTGGAGGACCGCTGAAGATGATGTCATGCGCAGGCCTTGTCTTCTCGGTCTTACTGAGTGAGCTTCGAGCACCTGAACAGAAGCCAAACCCACCGTTTTTTAAGCTCTGATTGACTACGGGTGTCTTAAGGGACCTTTACTTTTTTTTGTTTTGTGGCCCATGTCTTACACGCGAACGCGTGCGTTAACTGAAGGCAGGTTTGTTGGTAAGCCATCGTACAAATTACTCCCTCGAAACTCTGGCGTATGACTGCGTGGACGTATCGTGTAATGTCGCGCTCACACTGCTCGTGTCTACAAAACACAGCACACTATCTGAGACGTGTCCTTGTATGACTGCTGAAGCAAAACCTGTCCGCAGACATGTTCGAAGCGTATGTCGCGAGCATGCTTCGAATATGCACGAGGCGTCTCCACAGATAATCCTGTCATCGTGTCTGCCCAGTGACTTTCGCACGATGTATACGGGCGGTGTGACTGGAGTCGGGCGAAGATACGTACCGAGTTTTTCTCGGTCGCACCATGGCTCGCTCAGGAAGTTTCGGAACGGGTAATCGCGCAGGGTGCAGCCGCAATGCTTCTTCGTCAGGTTGCGTGCGCACTCCGAGAAGCAGATCTGCCGCGAGAAACGGGCAAAAGGCGTTGTCAGCTCATGAATTTCGAGTCTTCTGAATAGAATTTCGTTCCCGTGCTACGGCTGCAGCCAATGCTAGCTCGCGGGCTTATTTATTTATTTATTTATTTATTTATTTATTGATAATACTGTCGGCCCTTTAGAAGGCATTTACAGTATGGTAATACGTGCAAGATGTAAAAGAACAATCATGCACTGACACTTCAAAAAAGTGATTCACTCGGAGGAATAAAAAAGCAAAAGAAATACATTCAGAACACAAAGGCACGGCACATTATCAAGCACTATACTCTTTATTAATTTTAACGAAATCACAGACATTTGTCATAGTGACGGGTGAGTGTTACGCGCGCGCGTCGAATACGGAAAAAAAAAAGTGAAGCAAACCTACTCCAGGTTTAACTCTGAAATACTATCCGGATCGTTGTCAGAAGAAAAAATAAAAATACTGCCAATCGAGTGCGTTATCGAGATAAAATGAAGCCCAGGAATATTGAACAATGCTATAAAAATTTGTAACAAAACTCGCAAAAGTCGAAAATAAATTTTTGAGAAGTTAAAAGTGCCCCATGGAGACTAAGACGTTTTCCGAGCGCAGCTTGTTTAATGGCTCAAACAGTTGAACCACGCTCCGGATGGAATGCCGCGGCAAGAGCGACATAATATGTGAGGAAGAATAAGGGCTCCGAAGAAGCCCTTACCTTTTGAACTGGCGGTTGAGGCAGAAGATAATATCAACGTGAGTAATCAAACTTATCAAACCATCTATGTTAACGAAAAATACGAGCATATGGAATGCTGAGGCGATTGGCATCCAAACACGCTGCTTTGTCCAAAACAAACGAGGGCACTAACACCAAGAATCAAGTTAATACTCAGATGCTTGTGTTTATCATTATCGTAGAGTAGTGCACAAGAAGTTTTTGCCTGAAGGACCAGCCGCTCATCAGACGTTCTATCAAAAAGTAATTGAACGACTCTGTGGAGTCCTCCGAGTCTGACCATACACCGTCAGACAACGCACGCGTTCACACTGCATTGTGTGTACGCGGAGTTTTGAACGGAACATTTTAGTAGGTCCGCAGGTTGCTTACTTTATTCATTTATTGCTTCACTTGCTGGCCGGTTACACGGAAGCCAAAGCAACAACAACAACGCCACGTGAGAATGCACCAGTTGCTGTAATACACTGGTCACTGTGTACAGATAATAAAATGCAACAAAGAATTGACAATATGACAGGTAGATTAAACTGGTAAATTGGTAAAGAATTGGCAAAACAACAGCTAAATTAAACTGGCACCGTATTCGCAATGCAGAGAAGGTAACGCAAATTTAGCGAGATTTACGTGTGTGTGTGCGCGTGTGTGTGTGTGTGTACGCGCGCGTGTGTGCGTGCGTGCGTGCATGCGTGCGTGCATGTGTGCGCGTGTTTGTGTGTGTAAGACAAGATTAAGACGAGGATTGGGAATTGATTGCTGAAGGTCTTAGGATGTATATAACACACATGCAGTTTATTCTAACACAGGTCTTTGGTGAAAAGTGATTGTAAGCGGGAAAAAAACGTTTTGATAGAGCCTCTGTTCAGAGACTCTTCGGTAAGTTTGCTCCAATCCGCAACAGTGCGTGAAAACTAGCTTTACTCCTAAGATCGTTATGAGAGAAAAACTCGCGCAATGGTTTCCTGTCTTCATTTTCTTTTATCAGAATGTAACAGGTGTGATTTTTTTTTTAATTTCCCTTCAACTCATGAGCTGCTTACGAAAGATCAAATAAAAGCGCCTAAAAAAAAAGCTTCCGATATCGATTAGAGTAAACGTGTTCGACTGTGCGTCGTATATTAGAATCGTTCTCAATAAACCTCTTTACGTAAACATCGACATCGTATATCAACGAAAGAAATGCACACCAGGACAACACACGTGACACAGCTGTCGTCTCGCCACTTTCGCTGTGTCTACGTGTAGCTTGTTTTGTTGGATGCCTACCTCCTGCGTGTAGAAGGAGGGATAGTGCGTCATCGTCTCCATTCTCCTGTAATCGACGCAGTTCGTGTCGAACGGGAACTCGAGTCTCTGGAGCATTTTCTGGGAAAAGAAGGAACTATATTATGCGAGGGTGGCGCATGAAAAAGTAAAAAAGGCAATCTTCCGCGTGAAGCGAAGGGATCGATGGCTGTTTGCAGAGACCGCATAAATCGGTTCCTGAAGGTATCGAGCTAAGAGTTTGCAAAAAGGTGGCCGAGAAACGTACATTAAGGCTCTAAAATTTGCGCTGGACAAGCTAACCTGCGTAGAAAGTAAGAAATGAAAATCTTGAAATCCCTACCCACGGTGGCCGTGCGCTGAAGGCGTCTGATTGGCGCAACAGCCGTCAGATGTCGGCAGTGCTACCCGTGTTGACAGGTGGGGGCTCGGCAGAGAAGGCTCCGAGTATCACATTTTTCAGCGTCAGCTCGACGACACCATGGTTGGTGGCTCGTTTTGGAGGTTCCTCTCCTCGTTGAGGCGCGCCTTATTTAGTGTAGAAAGGGGAGGGGGGGAGGGGGGGATCTTGGAGGTCTCTGTCAAGATTCCGCCCTAAAACTTCGGTGAACTTCCTTTTGTCCTCTGGAACTTCCCCGTACTAGAGAACAAACTTCACTGACTCGATGGGAGCTAAGCACACCATGGGGATGACCTACACCATAAAACAGCAGGGATGAAACTGCCAGACAAGAAAAGGGATGCGATAACAACCGGAGAGCTCAAAACAGACGGCGACATCTAACCAAAAATGATTGTCGAGGAAAAGAAACAAGAGAAGAGAGAAAACACATTTGTTTTGTTGTTTTTGTTTTATCTTCCTGCTCCTTCAAATGAACTTAGACCGGTTCGTTCGTCTATAGCACAAAAAATATATATTTTCCGTTTAGTAGCCATTGCTACGATGGCTACTGAACGGAAAGCTTTTTTTTTCCACGACAGATATACAAATATCTTATTTTTTTAAATGTGGGGCAACACTGGTTGTTGATTTGTATAATCAATTACTAATCCAGAAATATAAAAGCAGTACTTACCATAATAATATATAATTTCTTAATGTGTTATCACTTGTTCCAAACCCCGTGTTTTATCACATACGTTGTTCAGAGTGCTGGATTGTGGTGCATTCGAGGACTAATTACGGATTGTAGATGCTTCAGCATGTTATATCACCCAACCTTAACGAACTCATCAAACAGAATATTCAGGTAGAAAATATGTGAAAACAAATGAAATAAAACAGATATATTTCAGAGAAATAGAGTGAACACCATTGATTTTAGAAATTCTGTTTATTTACGATATGTACGAACATATCATTGTTCTGTTCTATCTGTTATTTTCTTGATGTTATATATTTTTGACTCCTGTATGTGCTAACAATTCTGTAAAAATCTGTATGGAAGGCAAGAATGTTTTAAGCTACGTTTAGTAAGTGTTTGTCCTCTCTATCTCTCTCTCTTTATGACTTGGAGTAAATTAAATTGAATTGGATCTTCATTTTTTATGTTCTATCAGTAGAATGAAATACTCATGCACCGACAATTTGTGCAGAAAAGGCACGCATCGCTTCTGGCTCCGAAACGTCGTCGGCTATTGCCGAGATCGAAGGAAGCTACCGTAGTAGCCGCCTGCGGTAGGGTACCCTATAGCCTGCGATTAGCCTGCGATCTTACGTGCCGCCATCTGTCGGCCGTGTCGTCAATCACAGGCCTTTCGTTAGCACACGGGCGCCGTAGGTAGGGGTTTCAAGTTTTTCATTTCTAACGTTTTACTCGGGTACGTTTTTTTAGTTAAATGTTTATCCCCTTAAGCACGTTCTTCGGCCACCCCTGTACAAAATCTCCGCTCGATACGTTCGCAGACCGATTTATACGTTATTTTCAAACAGCCATCGATCCCATTGTTTTACGTTGTATACAACATGGCTGGAGCTGGCATCACATCAGCTACCATTGTGATGGTCTCGCAGCCGAGCACGTATTCTTCGGCAGCATGTTTATTTTTGAGCCACCGCATACGCTCTCCTTGTCAAGAACGAGTTGGAATGACCACCATCGTGGTGCCACGACGTCACGCGCAGGCGATGTCTAGGTTAAGTACTCGAGACCAATCTAATAATAAAAATTCCTCTTCGTTGCCCGTTGTAAACAACTTTTATTAGACCTTGCAGTCTGGGTAATGAACGCCGTCGTTCTCTCTGGTCGAGACGACTCTGCTGGCGAAAGCTGGGCGAAATTGGCGGTGCCTTTATTTCTCGGCCTGCTCTTCCGCACTTTATTGCTCGAGACCGATGTCGTGGAGGCTCGTTTAGTACGTGTTAGCAGATAAAGTACCTATTCTCAAGATATATCGATATAAAAAAAGCCCACCAATCCGTCTCTGCCATCCGCTTTTCATTTCCCAGTTCTGTAACGTAGGCTGCAGAAATACATTCGTTTGTGTGTTTCCGCGCACCCGGGGAGAGGAGTGAGGGTACGTTTATAAAGGCTGCTTAGGGGAGCAAATGGGTACACACTAAACATCATTATACCTTTATAGGCTCGACAATTGAAAGGAACTGTTTCGCAGGCGAGCGACCTGGCAATCACGAAGGTTAGCGAAGGTTCTGGAAAGACAGATTCAATACTCGCAAAGTTCGCCACAAAATGGCGGGTGTCTACACCCTAGCGGAGCGGCCGACAAATGGAGGCTCCCTGGAGTGCTCCATGCAACAGCGCCCCCATTTTATGAATAAAAAGACAGTGTTCCTCGAAAGATGGGCGCTGAAAGGGTAGAGCCATGGGTGTAATACTAATCCCCTTTTGACACCCTCAACCGCGATCTTACCACTAATACAACGTACAAAACCTGTCCGCAGACATGTCCACATCAGGCACGTTGCCAGGATTTTGTTTCGGGGGGGCCGCCCATGACAAAATGCTGTATGAGGGGGAGGGGGGACAGGAGGCCCCAGCAAAATGGAAGATTTCAGGGGGGTGGGGGGGGGGGGGGGGGGGGGGGGGGGGGGGGGGGGGCCGCGCCCCAGGCTGTGCGCCAGGGGAAGGGGGGTCCCCAGGCGCGTTGCCAGGGGACCCCACCCCCCCCCCCCCCCCCCCCCTTGCTACGCGCCTGGTCTGCATCATAGATATGTATGAAGCAAACGCGCTTCGAGGATGATTGATGCGTGGCCGGAGACCCTTCCGTTATCGTGTTTGCAGAAAACACCGTATTTTCTATTATGTATGAGTAGTGCGGCTATAAGTGCCTGTTCACAACTTGTCTTTGCTTACGGCCGAGTTGTAATGACTTCTTGTGACGAGAGAACGCGACCAGAGCCATAAATAAGGAAAGAGTTTGGCCATCTATTGTCTTCGGCGATCCCGGGCGGACCCTTGACTCCTCCCACCGGCATTGACGTTTGCCCTAGTAACCGCGTGGCAACGCTGAACGCGCTGAACACAAAACGCTACTGTCCACCATTTTTGTTCTTATTCCCCGTACGCGCGCGTTGGCTACGCTGGGTTTTTACCGGCTCCCTAATTTGCTGAGCTTTTATTGTTACTTCCAAGACGAAAATAGTTTTTTGTGGTGCCGTTGGGTGCTCTAACAGCAGCCATGACGGTTGTCGCTTGTTTATTATTCCGAAAGAAAGAAAAAAAAAAAACGACGGAAGGTCTGGTTGATAAAAATAAAGCGCGACAAGTGGACACCGACGGCAGGTTCCCGACTTTGTGAGGTAAAAATGCTGTCAATTATTCCAAAACTCCCCAAGTAAATGGAGATTTTCCTACGGATGCGATCACGCACGGTACGAATTTATAAATAATTGTCAATAGCACTGATCTCGTCATACATGCAGTTCAAACTTTGGCTCAACTCAAGAAAAGTGAAACATAACTATAGTTCGTTGCAATGAAGATAAGCATGTGGGATCACTAAAGCTACGACCCTTGTTTGTTGCATCAAGATATACGACCACATGGAATTTAAATCAAACAAAAAAAAATGGGAAAGTCAATTCTAATTATGTGCATTTCTGATGTTCACTATCTGCAACTTCTGAGGGGCCCTTATTATGACAGCCCTGTTTAAACTAGTAACTGCTAAATAAATTGAAAGTTATAAGTTGTCCTGAATTTAATGTACATGAAGCAACTGTGAATGCATGGCATTACCAGAATGTCCTGAAATCAAAGAAAAGCTGATCAGGCGTTTCAGATGGGCCAGGATTCGATTTTATGTGAAGGAGAACACCCGGAAGGCAGCTGAGAAAAGGAGCGCAAAGAAGTGCTCATCCAGCAAGTCGATGGCTGCACCGCGTCAGATTTAGTAGATTAGAGAGTTCGAGCTTAGGTTGCTTATTAAACATGCCACTTGGGGAAAGTTCTCTGGTTCTGGGCATTCTGAGCAGATGAACTCGAACGTCTAGTTAGGACCGGATTGCATTTGAGCATCTTTTGACGGTTTAAGATCAATGGTCTTTCATGTATAAAAAAGCCTGTTTTTGTCTCCAGATCGAGCTAAATTAGACTAGCGTTCTCTAACGCCCAGGCACGAGAAGTTTGTATTGTAGCTTGCCACTAAAAAAGTTGCATACAAAAATATATGTCATTACTGAAAGCCTCCGTTTGAAGCAAGAAAACCGCATGCATGTCGAGATCATCTCATTTAAAAATATAGCTCCAAGCTACACATGCCATTTGGCGCATATCGCGAAGAAATCCTGCTCAGAAGCACGGTTGCAAACAAACACCTCGGCCAAATAGCTTTAGCTCTCTTTCAAATTTTAGTTTACAAGCGCTCATCGTTTCGGTGGAAGCGCGTTTCGTAGATTTCGTAGCAAACGCGGGCGCACCTCACATATCTCATGTCGCTGACGCGAATATTCTGCCAAGAACCTGTAAACTGCGTCGGGAATTTAAATCGTCGCACCCCGACATCAAAACCAACCGATATGAGCGGCCTCAACTGAATCTATAAACAACCAGCGTTTTATTCCAGTGTAAATTTCGCGACACACCGAGCGCAGAGTCTGACCGAGCGTAAGCAATTTTTATAAACTGGGCAGCGTCACTGCA